AAAGCGTTCTCTTTCAGCGAACTACACACGACACCATGTGAATGATAACTCAGTTAATATGGCTCAGTCTACAAATAAATAGATTGGAATAAAGAAGTGTAGCTATACCTTGATGGCTCTCCGGAAGAAGCGAATTGCGATATGATGTTCCCTCTGGCGAGCAAAACAGTTGCCCGCGGCGCACCAAGGCTCCGGAGCCCCACGATCTAAGTCTAGCAGATCGTGCGCCAGCTGCGAAAGATCAGCGTCAGCTTGTAGCTGATATAACGCAGTCGAGTATACATCCATGCCAGTGAGCTGCCAGGGTTCGCGGGAACGCACCTCCCGGAAAACTTGCCGAGCTAAGGCATACTCGGTGCCGTCGACGTGCGCTCGACCAGCCCAAGACAACAGGCGCCCAGTGGCCAGCTGACGAGCAGATGGACCTGTTTGCCCATTACCACCGGCCAACGCTTCAAGTGCGTCACGCCATCGATAATCGGCAAGGGACTGGTAGGCAGTGCCCAGTTTGACGAGCAAGTCGAGGTAGGCCTGAAACGAGGCCAAACGCGGGTCGCTTGATGTGTTGGACGAACCGCGACAAATATTATGTGCTGAAATTAGTTCAAGAGTGTTTGCGTCGAGTAGACATGGAGAAATCGCTTTCTTTAATGGCTCCTTAAGAAAAATATTTTAGAGGGGAAAAAGAATATATAAGGTAAGCATAAACCAAGAAGGCGTAATAAAAATAAAAGTTAATAAAGTTTAAGAATAAAAGTTGTTTGACCTGGTTTTCGCAACTTGGTCATATTGGCAGGAAGACTTAGAAGAACGCACCTTGTCCGGAGTCCATAGTATGGATGATAATTTCCAGTCGGACTGTGGCGAGGCTCACTGACAATACCGATTACGATGTCGGCGGAACGTCTGAGAATGTACCAAGTTCACAGTCCGACTTTGGAAATTATCATGCATAATATGGACTCCAGACAAGGTGCGTTTCTCTAGGTCTTCCTTCCAATATGACTAAGTTGCCAAAACAAGGTCAAACAACTTCTATACAACGTAGATACGAAGAGAAACTGGGTCTTGATGAATCTCTTAAGATAACATTATTGGAGGGACTTTAATTTCGTATGAAAGTGCATGAAAAAGAGATTCATAGGTCGACCTCACTGGAAGAGGACGGATGAATCCCGTTGTACTGCAGCCTGCGTCAACCTGAACGTCGTATAAAAGCCCAAAGGCTGCAGTAAAGCGAGATGCATTCAACCTCTTCTGGTGAGATCGACATACGAATCTCTTCTTAATGCACTTTCATGGGAAATGAAAGTCCCCCAACAATTTTATACAACGAAAGGAGACCGCGACCATACAAAGGGTCTCACTATCCTAGTCTTCATATCTTTGACTAAACTATGGAAGTAAGACTGCCAAACAATGCACCGATTACAATCGGACAAAAACAATTCTAAATCAATCCTGCCCTTCGACCTTTGTGAATTGTAACAAGCTTTATGGTATCGCTCACGGATTTTGCAACCTAACGAAGAAGTGTCATTCGGACACAGCTAATGAAATACTTTATCAAGCCTCTATCTAGAAATTAGAGGAAAGTTACGGAACTTAAAAGCGTAAGCTATTTAAGTTCATAGATATTAAGTCTGGATTAAGGAAGGATCTAGGCAGGGTTCGCACTCCGGATGACTATCAAAAACTCCAGAGTATGACTGATCAGAAGTCACAGAGGGTCCGGGATTTGATAAATAAGCGGCATGACAATAAATTGCTTAGATATGGGATAAAAAGATAGCGCAGGATCAAACTAATCCGGGCCGATTTTGATGGTTCTTTATTGAAGGTATACACTGCGATAGAGATAAGGTAGTAAACCTGTACCCAATCCCTTCTGATTCCGAAATAGTGGATCTCCTGAAGGGTTGAATTTTCTAATCGGTAACGAAGGAAATATTTAAGAAGATATTCTTGTAGAAGTTCTCAACATCTCGGCGAAATTCCCATAAGAGATCAAACGGGAGATGGAAATGGAATTAATCCCGATAATTCTGTCCCATCAAGAGTCAATGAAAAGGATTTAAGATACGTAGAAAGTTACAAATGAATGACCAAATAGTTCTTCAAGCGGACAAGGGAGGTGCGACGGTGATAATGGACAGGCAACAGTACACGGAGAAAAAGGTAAGTACTCTAGGCGACCCGAACACCTATCAAATAGTAAGAAAGGATCCAACAATGAAGATCAACGGTACACTGAAGAATGTGCTGAAGGAAGTGCATAATAATGGAGAAATTGACAGATGGATGATGAAGTTTTTAATCAAAAATGATGTAAGACCACCGACAGCCTACGGACTACCAAAGATATACAAGGAAGAAAATCCGCTGAGTCAACAACAAGCATGGAGCAACACACAAACTAGCGAAATTCATTTGCTTGAAGCTAAAGAAAGTAAATGACAGACTCTCGAATACCGTTAAGAAATCATATGAATTTCCTCAAAGTATCCAAAATATTGGAGTGGCAGGGACGGAAATGATGGTAATTTTTGACGTACAATCCATGTAGACAAAGATGTCCGACGAAGGGGTAGTCGCCGCCCTGTTGGAGGTCTTGGAACGAAAGGAGGATATCGTGGAAGCAGAGAAAATACTGAAGGAGTCGTTGAGACCACTAATAAACCTGACAGTAGGTGCCACCTATTTTACATTCGACAATATCTATGAACACATATTTGGACTTT